CGCCCCGCCCCCGGCTGCGGAAAGGAGCGGGGGGCCAGGAGCCAGCAGCGCGCCCTGGGGCCAAGAAGGCTAGGGGCGTCCCGCGCTGCCGGGGCAGACCCAGGGCAGCGATTCCTCCCCCTGCTCCGCACTGCCGGGCCGCGGCCCCCCCTGGGGCCTGTGTCCAGTGTTGGGCGCCCACGACGGAAAGGATGTGGAGGGCAACAAAAATGCTTGGGGGCTGGGGGACATAAGCCCATCCCCGAGAGCCATCTCTCACATACTTCAGACACCACAAGCTCTGTTCTTCTGGAACCGAAGGAAGGAAAGGGTCTGCCCGTCCATCTGCCCTCTGCTGCCTCAGGGCAGACTAGGGTAAAAGCTGCCTCGATATTTAGTTAATCTAGTGCGGGGCTGCTTGTTTTGCAGGAAGGATGAGCCTTCCAGCCAGCACACACTGGCGTGTCCCTTTGTACGAAGGGCCTCAAACGCTTTCCGTTCGTTCCTCCACGCTCTCGGCGGGCCGAGGATGCTCTCCCGTCCTCAGCGGTTCTCTTCAGTCACAAATATTTCAAAGTTTCCCACTTCTAACAGCTTCACTCCAGCTCTTAGGCTAAGGATGTAGAAGCCTCTGCCATCGCCAGTCTGAATTTCCACAGACGAGAATGACTTCAGTTCAAACTACGGTTACCCAACGCAGAATCTGAGCTATTTTAAATCTGTGGGGCAGGTGCCTTGGTCCTCTGTTTTCTGTCAGTGCCACCTTCTTACTTCCCATCCTCTCCTAGAGCACTTGAGTCAACTTCCCCGGCTCCCGAGAGATCCACCAGATGGAGAGAGACCTTTCTTGATTACTCTTCCTGCATTTGAGTTTTCAGATTATTGTGTGAAATGATGCCAACTGACCCCACCTATCATTTCTCCTAGGTCTGTTAACTCCGTTAGAAAAACAGGCTTCGCAGAACAAATGTTGTAGAATAAGCAGTGTTGGATTCTTAAGCTTCTGGGAGGCTTTATTCTGTGTAAATGAAAATATGTATTTCCGCAAGTAAGACAAATTTAAAAGCAAGCAAACATCGGTGGGCGGCTCAGATGCTCGTCTGTGCTACAGGTAAGCCTCTTTCCACAGTGCACGCACCCTGACAGCCTGGGCTCAGGTGACACCCAGCAGCACGTGTGGCTCCACCGTCCCTTCTCAAGTGCCTGACTTTTCTCCTCCAGCACTGATCTTAGCTGCACACCTTCGGACTGCCGCTCAAGGAGAGCCCGCTTCTGTTCTTCATTTCTTGCCATTTCATTTTACTTGTGCATCCTGCATGCAGCGGTGTTTAGTAGGGGGAAGGGAAGAGGGGATGTCAGACAAGACACCTACATCCCAGTAACTGCTTTCTGTAGTCATCCTGATCCTACGTCTCTTAGTAAGTTATTTTTGCTTCTTTTCATACATATTCTTGATAATTCAGTCTGCCTTTTGAGTGGCCGAAGGGAAAAAAGATGGAAACTTACAGCAGACTATCAGTGAAGTTTTGCTTTTGTTTCTGCACAGCTGAAGCCATCACTGTTGTCACACACCGCGTATAACGAAAAGAAGGAACCGTGACAACTGACTAGTACAGCATGTACTTCCCTACCTGAAGCTACAAGCAGGCCTACCACATCTCCAAGCCCTGCTTCTCTTACCTCATTCTCTCTTTCAGCATCCACTCTCTGCCAGGGTGGGTGCATCTACACATGCCATTAAAGCGGCGTGATAAACTCTGGCACAGTCCGCACCAGTCAGCTGCTCCTGGGCACAACGTCTGCACATGCACTTGGGACCACAACAGTTTGAGCCGGGACGGAGCAGCCCTGGGCTGGCAGGGCCCAGGGGGTCAGCCCCAGGCTCTGGGTGGTGGTAGAGGGGCTGGCTGGGGCACGGGGAGGGTGTGAAAGTGCTTATCGCCTAGCCCCACACTTTGGCACCCTGGTGTCCCAGTCAGCCCGTCACCATATACATATGCATTCCAGTCAGGGACAGTACGATCCTATGGTGGAGCTAATTTGCTGCACCCTAATACCGGGTCATGTGTAGACAGTGACACTTCACTGTGGAGCCAATTAGTCAGCTGCAGTAAAGCACTCCATGTGACGCAAGATACTGGGCAAGATAGACCTATGGCCTGAATCAGTAAGTGGCAGTTCTTATATTTCTAAAATGATTAGTCTTCACCAAACTAAGAAACAGCAAGATCAGACAGAGACAGACAGAAGTATACTGAAATGATCTGCTCTGTCGACAGGTAGAACTCCTCATACTCTAGAGCACAGCTGTGTTTCCCTTGCAGTTCCTTTCAATTTGAACGCCTTATTTCCCAGCAGAAAAGTGAGAGAGGGAACGAAGAAAACAATGCTTAATCAAAAGAACCAGTTTAGTATTGGTCTAAATTTCTCTACACTGCTCTCCAAACAGGCCTTCTCCAACTTCTGGGAGGATCCCCGTATCTTTTCTTGAGATGTAAATTCAGTTGCTGGGATCTGGGACATTACTGCCCCCTTCACAATTGCCAGTAAGGATGCCATTTAGTGGCAGTTTCGCATCAATGGCAAGACAGGTGCAAAGGCCCTACATGATCACTAGCATGCTCTGAATTCACTGCAGTTCAGCTTTCCTCTCCCCAGGTATACATGCTAAGGCGATGGTAATGAGGCAGACTCGACTTCAGGCCAATCAACATCTAGAGGAAATTCTAGACCCATCAGCTGGAGCAGTGTGGCATGTCCT